CTTCGACGAGAACCACCTCGAGTCGATCCGATCCACGCTCGATCGTGGATCCATACCTTTAACCAGACTAAATCACATTCATTGCACAGATCAACATGAGATTTATTTTTCTAATGCGAATAAGTTGAAAAATTGTTCGATTTCCGTAAACTTAAAATACTTCTTTAATCGAATAAGAATATTTTTTTTAAATTCTCGAATTTCTATCGTTCAAAATTGTTTCAATAAGAAAAGAAAAAGCAATCGAATTATACAATCGTATCATCAAGTATATATTTCTGAGGAAGAAATAAAAAGAGCTGTTAAATTTATAAACTTAATAAATAAACTATACATATTAATACAACTATAAATTGTTATATAATATAATTATATAAATGTTAATAATATCACCTATACAATATTAATATAATCATGATACACATTTTAGTAAAATGATCTAAAGATGACTCTATATTTATTAATTAAATTAAATTATTAAAACATAATGAATTATAACACAAAGCTTTCTCAAAGCTCAAAATCCATAAACCCATATGTACATCAACTTTTCTATTTTCAATCTTCAATATCAATATACAATAATAACCAAATACAATCCAAAACAGATTAAAAAAATAACAACCAACACTCCTCCTCCCTTCATAACGATCGAAAATAAAGAAATAATCGACATTCGAAATAAATAAATAACAATAAATTTCTCGATCTCTGTTTACAGGTGTCCGCGGGCCAGCACATGCAGCTAACAGGCGACCTGAAACCGGGGGTGTCGGTGGCGGCCCAGCAAGGCATGTACTTCAGCCAGCAGCAAACGCAAAATCAATCGGCCGGTCAAACGGACACCTACTGCTCGGTGTCGCAGTCCCAGACCATCAACTTCACTCAGCAGAGCCTGAGACAGAGGGCCGCGGCCGCCGCTGCGGGCGGCGTCCCCCAACCTGCCGGCGCTGCGCCGGCACGCACCCATCCCCAGCAAGTGCAGCCGAATCAGGTGGATCAACATCAGCACGCGAAAATTCTTCAACAGCAGCAGCTGATGCGCGCCCAACAGGTACGTAGCTGTGTGTGTATGTGTGTGTGTGTATTGTTGCCTCCTCTCTCTCTCTCTCTCTCTCTCTCTCTCTCTCTCTCTCTCTTCGATCGATCGAAGGATTTCCGAGGATAATAGTGCGATGGCGATAACCTCGGAGGGTGTGAAACCTCGTAGAGGTGGTTTATGGTTTAATTATCTAATGGCAACTCGCGATGTTTATCTATGGTAATAGAAACCTAGTGTTACCTAGATGGTGGTAGGCTGGGGGGATAAGTTAATTCGACGGGTAGGTTTTCAGTTTGATTTAAACGTTGATCTAAGGGAGAATTTTAATTTTCGGTCGGTGATGTAATTTTTTGAAAGATTGAACGTGCGAGAGAAAGACGAGGAGCGCGTTTGGTAAATAAATATTGAAATTCGTGTAAACCTGTGTAACGCGTTTCGACGGAGACATCTTATTATGCGAGTAATCTCTCTTGTGAAATCTCGAAATTAGAATTAAAATATAAATGCAAATGAGATGTAAATCGAGACGTATAAATGGGATACAAATCGATAAAAATTCTCTTCGCACTCTCTCTCTCTCTGTCTTCGATATTTTGGAAACTTTTTTCTAAATACAAGGGAACGTGGCGCGTTATTCGAAACATTAAGTTCGCATCCGGGGATGGCGTTCGACGCAACAGGTACCACTAGGTCTCTCCTTTGCAACCAACTCCTCTCTATTCTCCAACTCTCTTGTTGAAAGAAACGGCGCAAATAGGACAACCGTCTTGGAAGCCACGGAACAATGAATAGAAACTTTTTCCGTAACCGGGAAATCTGCGTTCACGCGCACTTCCTGGAGAAAACGTAGTAGTAATGCCCGGTGTTATCGTGACCAAACGAGATCTCTTGGCTTTCTTATGGATGTTTACGGATGCGGTTTGCCTTGCTCGAGGGAGCCCGATCGAAGTAAAATTGTTGCGGTTTCTTATTCATTGTTTTCGTTTTCGTTTTATTCGCGCGCCACAACGGCTCACCTACGACGCCTTTCTTTTGACAATACGTGTTTCAATTTGAGATATAACGTCTCTCTATATCATCGTAGTAAAAGCTTCTCCTTTATAATTTTATTTATCTTTTTTTTTTTTTTTTTTTGGAAATATTTCGATTTTTTTTGGAAATATT